AAGGTGTTTGTTTTAAGCCCTCGTCTGGTTGCTTCTGTAGATTTCTTTTAAATTAACCAAAACAAGCTATCTGAATATTGAAACATAACATTTCAAGGGAAAAGATGCAAGTCATTAACTAATAACTGCGGAAGTTCTGCGGTGATATGCTATAGTTATTTTGTTTATCCTATTCATCTGCAAAGCCTTGTCAAACGTATGCAAATTAGCGCATTTTAATTACTTAACAGTAAAATTAATTAAATTAATTCAAATTAATTTTACTGTATTCAGCTGTCGTTTCTCCATTAAGTTAGCCTATATGCCCATGATATATTGCCTTAGCTAAACTTTAGCTAACTTATTACATGGTAGCTCATGAGTCATGGATGTTTGCGAGACAAATTAACTATATACCTTTTGGATAATTAGCTGTGAATTCGAGGCACAGGTTACTTAGTCTTTTGTTCATCACCACTCACCTCCACACCAAGACAAACACAACTGGAAAGGGACGGAGGGCTTCACTTCTGCGGCTCTCTGCCTGTCAGTGATGTGCCGATCAATGTGTGCTACACTGCTGTGCTGCGTACCGTGTGTGGAGACGCAGAGGGGAGAAAGGCATCAGAACTCGACAGTCTCAACATTTCCCGACCCGACCTGATATTTGATTTTTTATTTGTTCGACAGGGAAAGCTGTGCGCAAACAGAAACACACACACGCACACATAATACAAGTATTAATTTATATATATATTAAAAAAAACTCCCCAGAAAAAAAGGGCACTTTCTCTCGAGGAAGAAAAAGGGCAGGTGCTCAAGCCCCCTTGATGTCTATGTGTGCACGTGCCTGATTTTATCCCAGCATTTTAGAACGAATAAATGGAAACATCCACCAATTACTCACCTTCAACAATAAAATCAACAGTGGCGTCATCAGACCAGGATTTAGACTGAATAAAACACTTGTAACGTCCTTCATCAGAGACTTGGACTGATGAGAGTTTGAGTGATGCATCGCCTCTCTGTAGTTCTTGATGATTCAGTTTTGTTCTCCCTCTGTAGGACTGAATCTGATCTGTGTTTCTGTCTTCATGGTCCTCATAGAGATGCACTAGTTGTGAGTCTTTCAGATTAGGTCTATTCCACTCCACTCTCATGTCCACAACATTGATGTTGGGTTTGACTGAACAGGGCAGAATCACATCTTCACCAGCTACAGCAAATACAGGATATACAGGTCCCACTACCTCATACTGCTCTGTAACGGAGAAAGAGAGCAGAACTAAACAGCATGTCATAATGGTTTTGTGCTCTACAGATTTACAACAGTTAAAATACATTGAAGAATCCTTATCGTCTTTCTCAGTCTTGTATCTCATGTGACACTTTTCCTTAAAAAAGCATGTTAAAGCAGCGCCTGTTCTTCTTTCATACTTTAGCTCTGTGTTCGTTCAGCAGAGGATTCATTCAATTCATTAAGCTGAAATCTTGCTGTTTGCATTTATGGATTTGATTATTTGTCTTGTGGCCTTTTGTAATATTTGTACAATTGTTTGTTTAGATGCTAAATATCTTTGCAAAAAGGATAATACACCAATCATTACTGCAAAATTAATCTCTAGCCTACAGTTGGATAATGACCAGCTCACTGTACTTCGTCCCTTACATAAGTTATTCAATCTCCTTCCCTCTTTCTTTTACACATGAATACACACTTCAGCCCTTCAAATAATTACCTGATCTTGAATCTGTAGCTCCATTAATAATCAGGACAGTCAAACAAATGAACTTCATCTCTGAATGACACGGATGCTAAAAGAAGAGAAAACATGTCAGAAAACACACAAAATGTTGTGTTAACATGCATATGTTTTTAACATAACACACACTCAGAAAATCTAAATTCAGTGAATCTTAGTCAATCTATGTACCTAATCCTATTTCTTAATTCTTACCTTCAACTCAACACTGTTCTCAAGAGTGTGAATAAATAAGATAATATGAGAGATCATACGGAGATCATTCCTGGTCTGGTTTTATCTTCTCATATCACTAAACAACTTAAGTGATAACACAGTCCCTCCCATCATACTACTTAATAACCTGGGCTGCTAACATCAACTTCTTCAGGCTTTGAGTAGGGTTTATAAATGTGATGTGATTTAAGTGTTTAAATCAATGTGCAGGTTCTAACTAGTTTAACCAACTGATTAAGTGGTGTAAACAACATCTCCGCCCTTTTAGACAGCAAGCACACCACATTGAGGTCTTGCATATATAACTTTATATTTTTCATTTTTCATTTTTATCATGTAGTACTCCGAGGACTTGCACTATTTCTGACACAAAGGGAAAAACGGATTGCATTTAGCAAGTGTCGCTTAAGTGAAGTTTTTAACAAAATTTCGGGAGGAGTACGCCCATCTAATCTTCAAATTAATATCCAAGTATAAAAGACAGCCTCTTACCACTTCAGTGTTAGTTATTTCGGCATCCCCCGTCCTCCCCATCTCCCCCTTTTATGCATATTTATTTATTTATTTATCTTTCTGTCTATTGGAGAGCTATCGGAGCTCGAGTAGAATAGTCTCTCTGAGCCCTCCATTGCAGACATCAAGCCAAATCTGTTTACCACTAATGCTAAGATTATATGGGCACACAAACTCGTGAAACAAGTTCAATGTCGACAGCCTCAAGCTGTTGCGGCGTTGTAGACACAGTGTAGGGCAAATCCTGTCAATCCAAATGTAAGAAATGTGACAAATAAAAAACCTCGATGGAATGGTACCAAAGAGGCCAGTAAGGCAAATACAGTAGTATACTGCTGTAGCAAATGAGTTCAAAAGGGAAATTAATATAAATAATTACAATTAATTATGATGAATTACAATTATTTATATCAGTGGCCAGTAGTAACTGTAGCAGAATTAAATTGCCCTCAACTAATCTGTTCGTCCAGCGAACATTCAGTGTAAGTTCATATCAACTCTAGGAAAGGATATTTTCGTGGCCACAGAAAATACTTTCATACAGTATTAATGCATTAGAGCATGTAGCAAGGATCAAATTCGTAAAGGGACATTAATTTGCAAGGCAGAATCAGAATAAGATGTAATTTGTGCACAAGAGTTTTATTGTCACGAATCCGGTCTATGAACTTCAATTCACTCACCACCAGAGGTCACCCTTCCATTACATTGACTCTCGCACTACACAAACTGTTGCATGTCATCCCGGACTACATATCCCATCATCCATTGCACTGATTGCACACAGCTGTAACCAATCCCACGTTCACTATATAACACTCACTCTGATTCCTTTCAAACGGCCGAGTATTGTATAGCGTTTATCACTCTCATAGCGATAGCTACTCTACGGAGCCTGTCTAGTTTTTCATAGCCTTATCTTAGTCTTGCCTTGTCTGTTTTCTCGTGTCCTGATCTTTGCCTGTGTATCTCGGATTCCCCCTCTCGTCTTGCCCTATTCGGAAACTGTTTGCCCCTGCCTGGACCTTTGCCTTGTACCTGGATTTATCCCTCTAGTCTCGCCCTGTTGATTCTGTTCGCCAATCGTAGACCCACGCTAGCCCTAGGATATATTCTTGTGTCTTGCCATCTATATACCTGTTGCCACTATCTGACCCCTGCCTGTCTCTAACCATGTCTGATAATAAAGTCAAAAATAAAATAAAATACGGGCACACAACTGTAGAATGAGGAATATTATCTCTTTTTTTTTAGATTGTTAAAAATGTTGAAGGTGGGGTCTAAAATTAGCATTCACCAAAATAGACTTTTTTGCGTTAATAAGATTGTATGATTCCACTTGAATTGTAAGAATGATAATCTGGTGCATTTTTTTTTTTTTTTTTTTTCAAATAAACATTATTTATTGCTAAAACAGATACTAACCTTTAGAACTTCTGGGATATATTTTGGATCGCGTGAACTAGCGTAAAGTCTGTATATTTTCCGTGAATCAACATGTTGACTGGTGATCAACTTCTCACACAGTTGC